CTTGGGTGGCATCACTCCTATCTTATAATAAGAGCTGAGCAAACTACATATCAGAAGATTTTCTTGAACTCATTTTCTATTAAATTAAAGTCACAAGGAAAACCACTTTAACATCTATAGAGACCTGAACTGAATGCAGGTGATCTCAGGTAAGATCTGCTTCCTGGGGGCAGAAGCAGCTGCAGTCATGAGCTGGTAGGAACTGGGAAGAATTTCTAAGAGTAAAATCTAGACTCCCGTGAGGGTAAGAGACCTGGCAGCCACAATCCTAGAGGCAGCTCAGATTTTCCTGTTTTCCCTCTGGGAACCTTACCAGGTCCTCATGGTGAAAAGCCAAGAGAAACTGATGCTTTTGGCAAGAGGAAAGCATTTGGGGTCATTTTGAACTAGATCCAAAGTGTGCCCTGTACCAAGGCCAACAGCAACAGACGGAAGATTGCACCCGAACCTTATCCAGTATTGAGGGAGAGAAATTACCCGACTCCGTCTGTGTGTAGCCTTCCCATGCCACCTAAAATGAAATCAAAATGTTAGAAACACTTGTGAAGGTTGAAGCTCAGGGACAGAAGTATAAAAAAGACAACCGCAGAACGGAGCACTGTGCTGCCCTGCCCCCCACCTGCACACCTTGCCTTTGACCCTGCAGGCATCTTGACCAATAACAGTGAGCCTGAGCTAAAAGATCTGCAACGGTCAGGTTCTGAGAAGTTTTTCAGAAACCCAGAGACCACTGGAGGGACATAAAAAGACACCAGTGGAAACTGAAGCGTGTGACACTTAGTGCTACAGCACACACTGGACACAGCTCAACTCCTAGTTAAATTAACATGAAACCTCACACTAATGGCCTGTTTACTTCAATTTCTATTACCTAAAGTATCACCTGCTCTCCAGCCAAAAATAAAAGTCACACTTGAAGGAAAGGCACGATCTGAAGAGACAAAGCAAGCATCAGAGCCAGACTCCAATATGGCTGAGATTTTGGAATTGTCAGATCAATAATTTAAAATATATTGCTGCCTTATGGATAGAACTGGGAGATGTAGCTTAGTGGTAAAGCTCTTGTCTAGCATGTGGAAGGCTCTGGCTTCCATTCCCAGAATGGAAAAAATAAAAGTAACTGTGGTTAATAGGCAAGGTCTCTAATGGAAAAAGTAGAACATGAGAAAAACAGATGGGTCATGTAAACACAGAAGATAAAATTAGGGCAGAATATAATGTAGCTGGGCGTGGTGGTGCACACCTGCAATCCAGCTCTGAAGAGGTGGAGGTAGGAGGACTACAAGTTCAGTGTCAGCCAGGGCTACTAGGAAGACCCTGTCTGACAAATGAAAACCAAGCAAACAAAAATGGAAAATAAAACAATATAGATTTAGTGCTAGAAATAAAATAAAAATGCTGAAACTGAAATGAAGGATGTTTTTGATGAGCCCAGCAATAAAATAGCTATGACTGAGGAAAAACTCAGTACGCTGGAAAGTAAGGCCAGTAGAAACTGTCCAAACTGAGATGCAAGAAGAAATAATAAAGAATATCCAAGAACTATGGTACATATTGGAATATCAAAAGAAGAAAGAGCTGGAGGCAGTGCAGCGGCACAGCCATGGCAGTGAGGCTGTGGTCGGAGGCCACAGCAGGCTGCTTGTACTGTGCGCTCTGCAACGGTTACCATCACCGGCCTACTTAATGGCACCAGACCACAGCCCAAGAGCTCCAGCAAACAGGAGTGATGCCAATGTTTGTGCACCTAAGCCCGCCACCTTCCCACTGTGAAGAGCCAGAGACAAAGAGGAAGTCTTAAAAACAGCCAGAGGGGCTGGGGAGATGGCTCAGTGGAAT